AAACTGTATTCGATTCCAGAAAAGAAGGCAGTGCGTGGCGACATAGCCAATCTCCTGTGTGTTCCCCTAGGGAAGAGGCAGGAAAACCTGGCCTGACACGCTAGGGGAACTGTGGGATACCTGCCTGATTGGTTACTTCCAGTTTGAACTGAGCAGGCCCCAAAATCCAGGGGGAAATTACTAGGTTGTCAAGACTATTGGTACCATCGAGATTCTTTCGTATAGGTGACAAACCTTCAGTTTTTGTGCTATTCCTTTACCCAAAGACTGCAAAATACATTTATAAAAAAAAAAAAAAAGAATGTTTCCTCATCCAAGTTTTCAATGTTCTCCTCCTTGAACATTTCAAGCGCCTATGATAAGAAACTGAAGTAAGCATAACGGTACTTTGGGTAAATAACTGCGTCAAAGACATGGTTATTTCTGTTTATGAATTTTTCCAAAGCTAAGAATGGTGAGATCGTGATAGCAGCAGACTGTATTATTTCCCGACAGCTGAACAGCGAGCTCCCTGTACAAGAGCGTATGTTGTTCATAAGCTCGTGTTTTTCGTTGATCACACGGCCAAAGATAGTCATTTAAGATGAGACAAGATGGCACTCTAATCATACAGAATGTAAACGGTGTGGCATCACAACTCATCCAAAGATTTATCGTAGGAAAGAAACCCAACACCCTTTCTGTTCATATATCCACCTTAAACACACGCACGCACACACACACACACACACACACACACACACACACACACACACACACACACACACACACACACACACACACACACACACACACACAAACACACACACACACACACACATAACGTATACATGTATTATATGTTTTAGAAATATAATGCTTGCCTATTACTGTATCGGAATATTCGGAGTGATCTCTAGAAGACCTCATATCAGACCACCGTTGAAAGACATTTTCTAGATAGGCAAAATACTGAGCATCAATCTTAGGTTTGAACTTCAACTGTCTGTAGGTAACGCTGAGAACCTAACGTGCTTCAGCGCCGTGTGCGAGTTAACTAAGTTAATGCTCGTGTATTTTTATGTCTATACATGTTTGCTCATTCCGCTCCCTTCCAGCACCCAAAATACACACACACACACACACACACACACACACACACACACACACACACACACAACACACGCACACGCACACGCACACACACGCACACACACATATACACACACACAAACACAAACGCATAAATAAATCATATACACACGTACTCACACGTACATCACACAAACTCGCGCACACACACACACATACACACACACACACACACACACACACACACACACACACACACACACACACACACACACACACAGAGAACTACTACTACAACGTTCAAACATCAACCAAACGATTTTCCTAAATTTGTTAATATCTCATACATGTACACACGAGCCGAAAATAAACATTTGCAGTTGTCAATTATTCGATTCCAGCTGTCAGTTCATGCATGCAGCGTGACAGAGATCAGAGAGGTGCGGAGTTTGTGCTGTCGAACAAGACATAGTATGCAGAAAGAACTACGCATATACAGCATACAATTTTTACACCACATCGGGATCAAAATTTGCACTCGAGTCACGCACAATTTTAAAGCGTCGATTTCTATACATTTTTTGAGTTCAAACGTTACAGGAATCTGAATACATCTATGCATTTACATTTTTATTATACTCAGTATCTGTTCTTACCCTTCGATTTGACTTTTTTAAAAAGTGCATGTGCTTTTACACCCCCATCGACACAATTAAGATCATTTAGGAGGCAGGCTTCGGATCTTGCCTGTCAGGGCCAACCCAGGCTGTAAGGGGTATTATGTTCTAGCAGAAATACCAAGAAACTTGATAAAAAAATTTCTCCCTACTCGGGAATCGAACTAGAGTCTCATGCATGCGATAGCGAAGCACCTAATCGCTACTTAACAGATGCCGGTCGTCTTGGCACGATGTACGTGGCTGATAGAAGTGCTTGCATGTTTTATGACCCCATTGGAACAACTTAGAAGAGAAAGGAGACGAGCTGCTGCGAGACCGCCCATCGGGGGCTGCCAGGGCTGAGAGGGATACAACGATTCCTGACAAAATAAACCTTCCAACACGAGAATTTAATTCGCACTAATGGTGTTTTTTTTAGCATTATGTAAAACCCAAGCCTAATCATTGCAAGACAGCTAACACCAACAGTTAACTTGAAATGAGCAGCCACATCTTGTCGATTGTGGTAGAAGGGTAACCCTCTTTTATACCGTTAATCAATTTGAAGTCGGAGAACTTGGGCCCCATCAGGACATCGGCCTTGGGGTGAGGCAATATTCACGAAAGAGAAAGATACTATACATGTACTATAATCTCACCCTAGACGGAATCGAACCTGCAGATCAGTTTGTAAGATTATAACGTTCTATGCCACGATGGTCGGATTGCCTATTTGCCCCTCGTAACATGGGAAAAGCTGTATCGTCTTTCGGGATGAAAGTCTAAAAGATTTTCTCACCCTCTCTATGGTATAGCCGAAACCTTACCACCTACCAAAAATCGTAAGAAAAGCAGACTTAGTTTTAACGTCTATTTCCGGAAATATGTGGCTGGGTGTGGGGAAGGCTTTATAATTACATGTACAGCTGGAGATTCGAAGCAGGATTGGTACTCCAGCATTTCTATCCAGCACAGTAAACCCTTGAGTGTGTTTGGCTCATGTTTTCCTTCAGTAAGATGGTATTAATAATCATATGCTAGAACGAGGGAATATAACTTCTGAGCTAGCCAAACCCCACTCACACAAAATTTTCATCTTTATACGAAATTTAGCTGTATACTCCTATCGACACGATAAAGTTTAACGTCTTGCAGGCAATATAATGCATGGTCTTGTCGTACAGGACTCAGTGGCATCTTTCAACGCTTAGAGCTTTCTAAATTTAGGAACGCTTCCTCGGGGATTCGAATCCCGTGACTGTAATGAGTAAACACTCCCTACCTCTTTCCAAATCGAACAAAACGATCAAGCACGCAACCCCGAAGCAAGCATGCGGAATACATTCTATGCCTTAAAGTAGGAAAGTTCTCAAGGCAACAAGAGGTGTGACAAACCCAGCCTGCCACCAAACGACCAATGAAAACAAGTGACCTTCGGTCTTTGACCTCGATCAAGAAGATTATATAATATATCATCTGCATGCGAACACGGGTCGACTACACAACAGCAGCTGCTCATCCCATGCTCCATGGCATACGTGTGCACACTGACCACAGCGATCAGAAGAGCTGACACTTACCTGGACTCGCAGGTAATCGTGGACACGGCATTGCATGGATTGGACTCTCTGAGAACACAGGAGTGGAACCCATTACCCAGGTGTATTTTATTAAAAGTTAAATGCTCTACTAGAACAATGCAGATCGTTTGGATGACTGACCTTCTATTGGTTACTCCTTATCACACCGATTGACAGGAAATATGTCAACAAGGAGAAATATAATGTTAACCGATCTCGGATTTGAATCAAGAACTTCACGTGATAGGTCAAGTTCATGAGCAGCTGGACGCCCGTAAACATATTATTTTATAGAAACAAGTTAAAACTCGTTCTCAGTTTTACCATTTACTAAAACGAGGAATAAACTGGGAATTTACGTGCATTTAATTTGCCCAGTGAGGAGTTAAACCGCCGTAACACTGTACTAAAACATTGGTGAGACAATTTGAAGTGACTGCTAGTAGAAAGGAACCGTGAAGAATTTACAGTGCATCTTTGGGCATAGTATGATTTTTTATAAAAATGTAATCATAGAGTAGATTTCTAGATAAAACGTCTAAAAGAATGTTCACACGCATATATTTTAAAGTTGAAATACCCGTCCGAATCTCTTTCTGTCCTACACACTAACAATAGAAGCAAAACAAAGGCGTCTGCATTAGATTAAGCAAAACAAAAGTGCATTTTTATACATAAGGTCAAATCAATTCATTATTGTCCAATTTTAATATGTCTAGGATGATTAATCATTCTTTGACAACCTTCTTTGCAAAGACATTGAATTGTGCAAGAGTCCAATTCCAAGGCAAAGATCAGATTGGATTACGGCAAGTATACTACTACTACTACTACCAGACAACAAAATAAAATCACGAAGACGTACTTCTACAGTTTAATTTGTTCTTCACACTGGGCACCATCATTTCCCCAAGTTTTTGAATTACCCCGCCCCTCCCCCAAACCCCGCTCGTTTTGATAGACACATTACATGATCTGCAACTAGCGACACTGTGGTTTGAGATTTGCCTGTCTAATTTTTATGATATTAATGCATAGGTTTCTAAAAGGGTAGGCCATAATAATATTACGTCAAGTTGATATAAAAAGCAACATTTTTAAATGCAAGCAACTTAACTGCTCCCTTTCCTAGAAGTATTGGACATTTTCATTTCTTGTTTCGATCTCATAACCTCATTTACGTAGTACCCCAATCACACCAATTTAAAGATATTAACAGCTCTCTAAGAACAGTTAAGATAAAATTTATTCTAAAACTCTTGTCTGCTTGAGTAAAGAGAGCACATCGACATAATGGTGACATTTAGTGCTTTGAAAAAAGTAAGACAGACAGACCGAAACAACAGAGGGAAAGTAAAGAAGCAGTACCTCCCAGTGACGCCCTCCAACCTTCCGCTCTAAAACTCTAAATGCGTACAAACTGAGAAACATAAATCTGACGTGGTACATTTTTGTAAAAAAGGAGTGTAACAAACCAGTGGAAAACAACCTTTATACGCCCCCCCAAAACAAAAAACAAAAACAAAAACAAAAAACCCCCCAACAAAACACTACAACAATCAAACCCAAACCAAACACACATTTTCCTATGTTATTACTAAAAATAGACAAGCTCGACCAGGTACGACGCAACATTTTCCAGAATATAGATCTAATCTTTATCCCCCCCCCTCTCTCTCTCTCTCCCTCCCTCTCTCTCTCTCTCTCTCTCTCTCTCTCTCTCTCTCTCTATCTACCTATCTATCTATCTATCTATCTATCTCCCTTTCTCTCTCTCTCTCTCTCTCTCTCCCTCTCTCACATCTCTCTCACTGACTCCCTCTATCTCAGCAAAAACATCTCCAATAAATAGCCCCTTCCCCCCTCCCCTCTCTCGTTACCTCTCACTCTCTCTCACCCCATTTTTACCCTCCCTCCT